TGTTTGTTCTGGAAATCTACTCTGGATCGGTTTTGATAGACTTTCGATTGACTCTTCTGTGATTGAGAGCTTGGAAGATAAGGAGTCGAACTTTGACTACTGAGCTAGATTGTAAGCATTGTAGTTCTGAGTCATCATCTGTCTAAGAATCTAAAGTTTAGTAGCATATGCGTCAGACTGAGCTTTAGGAGCACGACATGCTCTGAGGACATCATCGTCAGAAGTAGTATCTTGAGTTCTAGAAATTGTGAGTTTTAGGTCTTCCAAGTACCTTTCTATGTTATAAACAAAGTCCATGAACTCTCCTTTGTGACAAAGACAAAATGGGTGACATCAAGTACAACACTTGACCCTGATTTGCCTTGAGTTCAAAGGAGCTTTCGTTCAACCCTATGTTGGAGTTGAGATTGGAAGGACTTCCAATCGATCCTCGCATTTCTTCGTGAACAGAAGGAGATGCTCTGGGTCTTCTGATACTTGATTCAACATCCTCGGATTCAGAGTCCGTAGAGGAGAAGCAAATATGTGTCCCTTTCGATAAACCAAGTATCAGGGGTTCTATGTGTCCTAAAAAGTTGCTTTAAACAACCTTGGAGTTCTAGACTTGTATGATCAGAGACAACACATGTATCTATAGGTCGTGGCGAGCTCTAAGTAGATTGAACTCTTATATCAAAACTCAAGTCCATTTGAGAGGGCATGAGTGGAATATGTGCTTCCTCGGATATGTGCTGCCCAATGCGCGAAATAGTGGTCTCTAGATGGCTGGCTAAGGGTTTTGGGTTCAGACTAAGCGTACGTCTTGTTTCAATATCTCCAAGTGCTTAGTCACTTGTGATAAACTATGTGGTAGCTTTGGGTGGATATTGTTGTCTCTCACTTGTGCCTTCTTGGGCATCTTGATCACATCTCCTTGTTACATTTCCCGCTCTGCTTCGGGTTCAAAACACTCAGGAACTCTGTCCACATTTTTTGTTTCCCTATGATTCCTCACAAGAACTAGTTCTAGTGGGACCTATACGCCTTGGGGTAACTGGTCTCGGTTTTGAGGCCAGTATAACATCCCTATAAGAAGAGATTAGAAGAGATGTGGCTGGAAGACATTTAAGCATGACCTTATATAGAGCCCTTTCAGTTGGGTAACCTTCTTTGACCATAATTGGTTTGTGAGAATTCATTATGAACAAGGGTGTCTTTTCTCTATTAGTAGATAGGTTATAAATCTTGACATCGTCTCAAATAAGTAGTGCCAAGAATTGCGAAAACATAACTAAAGGAAGCTTTTTACCCTTGGCCACCATGTTGTTCTTCTTGTTAACAGCTGTCAGAATTTCATTGAAAATCAATCGAGCATAATGTAGATTTAGGCCAAAATACATGTACATGATCGACAATATGTTGATGTTTCCTTGGTCCATACGACCAATCTTGCAAGTCAGACTTCTGTTGGATATGGAGAACATGATATTCCATATTGGTGGTAGAAACTGGCACTTGAACTGGGATATATGTTGAATGTTCTTGTTGTAGCCGATGAACTTGAGAAATTCCACAATTTCAAATAAGGTAGGTATTTCCTCATGTTTAGTGATTTGGAGTTCTTCACGAATAGGGATGAAGAGAATTTTGTAAATCTTTGCTAATGAGATTTTGATGGCATACTCCATTTTGTTGGGAGCATCGATTACACCTATGATTCCTTTTAGCACGAGAGTGGTAAGAGCATGTATTCCAGTATTCTTGAACATATGGTTCAAGAATGACAAGGTCTATCAGAGCGAGCGGTTCAAGAATGTGATGTTGGAGGAATTCAATAAGAATGGAATAATCTCCATCATAGTTTTTAAACCTAAGATCTACTTGATAATTGTTAGGTTTTGAAGGAAGAAAAATGATGAGATTATTATCTGCCTCAGTTGATCTTACAACATTTTCATTGTGTGAGTGATGGGAGTTATCAGATATAGCAGGAGATGCCATTGTTGCAGGGTTCTTGATAGTTCGAAGAAAGTTTGAGCACAAAGAAATTCTTAGAGAGAAATACGAGAGTGTAAAAGAAAAATGGAAGGGGTGAAATATATTTATATGGAAAGATCCCTCAAATGTTTATTCAAATAGTGTCTTGAAAAGATGTTTGAAATGAACGGTTTTTGACATGGGTTGTAGGGGTTTGACACGTGTGGTAGTGGGTCAGAAAATGGCTTACCTCATCAAAATCGTCACCGTAGGAATATTATAATGACATGATGGTCATAGTTGTTATTTCACCCACACCATGATTAATAAAGCAAAAACACACAAGCGTTAATGTCCATAAGAGGTTAAGTACAAATAAAACCTCTGGATATTGACCATATGCAATTCTGGACATGTAACATATAGAAGAACCCTTAAAATCATTTGAAAATCGACTTCAAGGTTAAGAAATATGTATAAAACAACCAAATGGAAATGTTTGAAGCTATGATGTTTCAAATTAAAATTGTTCCAAGTCTTTGAAAGGTTCTATAACCAGAAGAAGTTTTATCTTTTAAGAACGCAATTTCCTTTATAGGTTTAGAAGTCATACCTTGCATAGTTTGATGATCAAAAGCTCTGGCTATAATAGACATAAGCTTATGATGATTGATTCTTAGTAACGTGGTGCCAGAAGCTCCCTGAAGTGAGATATGTGCTCCCTTTTGAAAACATATTAAAAATGCCTCTTTGAACTATGCTTGTATCAAAGATGATAAGATACGCACATAAATCATAGTTCAAGAATATCAGACTCTAGACTATAGAAACATAAATTATGTGTTGTCATTCTGATTATATCAAGGCATAAGACAATTACAGAAGCTCTGTTTAGACAAAATTCGTACTTGTTGACCAAGTAATCATGGAGTAAAATGCAGAAGCTCTAGTGAGTTAGTGGTTACTTAGACAAGAATTGATGGTAGAATATGAGAGACAAAAGCTCTGGATAATGTAACAAAGTTTCTGGAATAATGAGGACTTGATTTTATTAAGGAATATGCTCAGAAATTAATTCCTAAGTTGTGGTTAGTATAACCAGAAGCTCTGGACTTGTGATTGGGAGAATATACCACTTTTAGAAATACAGAAGTTCTAGACAATAAAGACAGAAGCTCTGGTCTATCGATACTTAGTAACTCGATATTCCAGAAGCTCTGGTTTTGAAAACATTGTTTTAAGTAGACATATTAAGCATACTCAATTTGTTGATCAAGAAATGGAATCTTTTCTTATCAAGAGCGTTAGTGAAGAGTTTTGCAAGTTGTTATTCTGGAGGAATAAAATACATCTCCATGGTTCCTTTCTCGACATAATTTTTTATAAAATGGTACCTGACATCAATGTATTTGGTCTTTGAGTGTTGTACAGGATTTGCAGTGATTGCAATGACACTTCTGAAGTCACATAGAACTGGAATTTCTTCAATCTTGAATCTATAGTCTTTGAGTTATGTCATCCAGAGGACTTGTGAGCAACAACTAGCTAGCTATATATTCTGCCTCTGCCGTAGAAGTTGGCATACAATTTTGTTTTGTGGATGTCCAACTGACCAGGTTGTCACTAATAAGTTGACAATTTTCAGAAGTACTCTTTTGTCTAATTTGCATCATGTATGATCTGCATCTATATAAGCTATAAGCTTGAAACCAGAGTTCTTTGGATACTAGAGACCCAATCATTGAGTTACTTTGAGGTATCTAAAGATTCTCTTTAAAACAGAAATATGAGATTTCTTTGGATTGACTTGAAATCTTGCACAGAGACAAGTTAAGAACATAATATCTTGTCTACTGGTAGATAGATACAGAAGTGACCCAATTATGCCTCTATAGTTCTTGTCATCAACTAATTTTCTAAAATGGTCAGAATCAAGTTTAGATCTAGTAGTGTTAGTCCCAATTTTAGTGTAAAAAAGGAAAACTTGCGCGTAAAATAAGAAAATACTATTTCTTGTATTTCCCTATAAATAAGAGTCCTCTTTCCCCTTTTGTAATTTGTAAATTCGAGTTATTTCTTAAAAACACTCCATCTCCGATACCCCCATCATTCCAATCCATGCAAGATCTATGGTCACGATTAATCATATGACTACGATTCTCTTTTCATATCGATCTAAAATTGTTTCCGCTTTACATATTTTGTTTAGATCATTGATTCAATATGGGATCCAACAATTGGTACCAGAGCCGAGCGATTGCTAAATCATACGATCGATTCTGTTTTGAATCAATTTCTCAATCCTGTGGGTATTTTTCTTCAAAAACCTGCTGTCTTCACGAAGAACCCCTGTTTTTCATAGTTTTCTGTTTTCAATTTTAAAACCCTGTGATTACGGTGGTATTTTTACTGTGTTTGAATAGATTTTGTATTAAATATGATAAATCTCAACTGAAATTCGGCATATAATATTGGATCTCTTACAAAACTTCCAACTCTTCAACGAGAGGAATATCCTCAATGAAAGGTCCACAGGATCAATTTCTTCAAGGGAATGGATCCAAAACTATATAAATCTTATTTTGAGATCATAGATTTGGAAAATGTGGAACTAAAAGAGAGTAATTGCACTTTTGAGTCATTCCATGAACATGTACTTGTAAAAATAGGTCGTGCTATTTTAACCTCCTTTAGTTAAACCATATTATTGGAAATATTAAAATGAATGTTTTTTTTATGTGTATGAATATAAAGAGTTGGTAAAAAGGGTTCATTTAGCATAACTTAGACAAATAGACACAAATACCCTCGCGTCACACATAAATTAAGGTCTAGAAGGATAAAATGTATGCAGTAAACACTAAACCGGTCTAGAAGGATAAAATGTATGCAGTAAGCACCGAACATATGGCAAATTGAAAATACCCGCCCCCAGAAGTGTTGGGGGCTAAAGCAATACAACCCAAACCTTATCGGGTAAAAGTATTGTTCCGAAAAGAACCCCCAAATCCCTCAAATAGAATTTTAGTTTATAGAATACATGATTTTGAAAATATCACATCTCCAACCAAAACACATAATTATGTGTAATATGGTAAAGGGAATTCATTACAACAAAGACAGCAATCATAATGTGAACTGGCATCATCTTGACAATGAGACCAACAACTTTCCAATGGAACTTCAACTACCAAGACATGAACAACTATGTCACACTTTTAAAACCAAAATCAGATCCAAATACTCGAACCACGGCTTCAACCGATACCAGATATACTACTAAGGATATCTGTAGAAATCACAAATGCATACAGTAGTTCTATATACATCTTCAGAATGTGGTTTTTCTAGTCAATATGTCTGCCATCTAATCATCATGCACAAAATAATCAGAGTCCCCGGTGGTGTAATAATTTTGGGATTAGGAAACCTTTGTCATGACTTACATAATGTACAATATACAGTTTATGTAGCCCAGACTCACCCCTTTTACGCTCTATATAAGTCAACGTTCAGCTATCTTCTGAGGCTCCTCGTGACCAACCTGCAGTCATGAGAGCATAAACCATCAATATACATGCTTTCATCGTATGCTGATGGTATTTGATTCATGTTGATAAAATGCACACATTTGACTTTCCAAAGTCAAACATGGTACATTTTGGTTTCATATTGATACGGATTAATTTAATTAACAATTTGGTCATACCATAATACTACACAAGACAGCATTGTAAATAGGAATAAGTGGGTGTAAACGAAAAAGAAAAGAAAAAGAAAAAAACGTGTCTTTGTTATGAATTTTGGTGGGAGTCCAATGCGGCGACATTTAATACGTATAACGATTAACTTAGATAACAAATACCCGTCCATCTCCTGAAAACTGCAACAAATTCATTTCCTGGACGTCGTATGAAAATTCTAGACACATCCTTTTTCAAGTAAATATTTTGCCCGTTTTTCACTATTAAAGATAAATCGATTACCCTTAGGGGTAGCTCAACTAGTAAGATAATGGGCTTGCTCCCTGACCACTGTTTCGATTCTACTCGGGGCTACTGGAGGTTTCTTTGGTAGTTAACTTCAGGGACATTGGGATTAGTCAAGATGCATGCAAGCTGGCCCGAGCGCCCACGATTATCCAAAAAAGGATAAATTGAAGCATGCACACAATTCTTTATGTTGTCTTTATTGAAGCGTTTTCAGATATTTGACGAAGAACAGTCCAGTATTTTCCTTAAACTACATGGCAAATCAAATGTTGCAACTTTCACGAGACACCCCGGTTAAGTGTTTAATAAAAATATTATATTCACGAACAAATTTGCTATTTCCCATTAAAATTCAAAGAAAATGTTTACAATCTTTTTCCAAAATTTTTTGACACCCGTAGCTTGTTTAGAAGTGCACAAATCCTTACCCAATAACATCTAATGATGGGCAAGAAAAAGGGAGGCGGTGAAATGGGCTCATTGCAGTTCGTCATTCTAAAAATTTATATCAAGAAAATAAATATTTTAAATCATTTCTTACCATGATACTGCAATGAACAGGTTGGTCTTGGCAATTGGCTCATGTCTGTATAATCAACTTTTAAGCCGGTGGAAGTGAGCGCCGACAGGTTGGGCACTCCATCTTTATATCCATCCATCTTTGTAAGCAACCAGAGTGGAAAAAATGATCACATGGAGTAACCTATAACAACATTTTTGTTAAATTCTTGGTGAAAAGAATACTAACCAAACTAATTTATTATATCCAACCCGGAGGTGGGGTAGGCTGGGGGGATGTACACAGACCTGACTTCCACCCCAAAGAGTTGGTGAAAGACCACCTACAAAGTAACTATACAACAATATTTCGCCATTACATACCATGCAATCATTTGAATGATGAGTGAGGTCAATGGCAGTCATGCAAATGACACAGTCAGTAGCATGATTTGACTCCTGATCGACCCTTCTAAAATAACAATATTTCTCGGGCAAAATCTGCATTAAAACATCAAAATACAAGTTCAGAGTCAGTCAAAGCATGTTAAGTCAAACTAAAACTATAATCATTGCTAGTGAACAATGTAGGTGGATTACAATTTAAACCAATTGGATTTTTTTTTTAATTTGCCTTCCATAAACCACTGATTAACCACAAGGGTTGTGGCATAGTGGTTGAGGCCCTAGGGATGCGGTGGAATATCCCATTTGTTCAGGGTTCGATTCCAGGCATACACAACAATTGTAGCCACTGAGTTTATCAGGGCTGATTTCTTGCTGTTACAATTTGCCGGGATTAGTCCAGGCATAGCCTGGGACACCCTTCCAAAAAAACCCCACTGATTCGTTATTAATGAAACAAGTTAATGGATAAATTGAAGGATATGAAGCTATCACAGAGTGGACATCAAACCTGGCGAGGAATAAACCATCGAGATCCAAGATAGTGTTGTAGAATGAGAATTGCAGCCTGGAAACCAACAAGGAGACCCAAACTAATACACCAGTTCTTATCAGGTTCAATTCGCATGAAGTTATGAGGACATCCGAAGACATATAAAGGAATTGCCAGCCGAGTCAAAGACATTCCTACTATATAATGAGGATGCAATGGTTTTCTTGAATCACGAACAATGTTTGTGATAATTTGCGGAATCCAAAAGGAATGCAAAAGAAGAAGTATAGGGCGCAGATATCTATGGAACTCATACATGATCAAGATACCACCTAAAAGGATTCCATCTGAGAAATATATACAAGTCTTAGTGCAAAATAGATGAATGTTTGAAAAGTCAACTAAACTATAAACCTGATACAAAGAAAGCGTAAACGAAAAGGTTAATTATGAATATACAAATGTACTATTGTCAGTCTCTGATTTAACAATCTTCTACTACTTTAGCCAAATTTAGCAAATATAAGCATCGGTATTCTCATATTAAAGCTACCTGTATAAACTTTTTGTAAATGCGGACGATACATGTAAACACTGTGGGCATGACAAAGCAATCAGCACTGGAATGTTTTCTGAGGGGCCGTTTACCAAAAGCTTACCCGCAAGCACTCTCATTACCTTATCAGGTAACATTTTCGGCCATAAAAATGGTTTGTTGGTAGATGTATTTTACCCGGTAAGCGCTTACTAGGTAAAAGTCTTCTCCCTCACTTACAGGGTAAGCTTCTCGGTCCTTGGTATGTATCTTACTGAGTAAGATTCTCGGTCCTTGGCATGCTCGCCCGGTAAAGTAAGTGACATATGGTAAGCGCTTACCTGGAAAGTGTTCCGTAAACGGCCCCTTAGTCAACTTTAACACTTATTGATTTACCATCATTGTTCTTTGTTGAATTTGGTAGTTAACCCTAGTAAAATAATCGTTGAGAACCTATTTCGTATAAATACATCGAAGGTACATTTATCCCATAAGCATATTAAAACATATAATGATGAGACTAGGAGGTTGTAGAAGCCTTGGTTCAAATAGAACAATATGATCTCGTACATATTTCCCTTTGTCACATGAAAGTTGCAACAATTTCCTTTTGGAAATATCCTATGAAAATTGCAATATTTCTTTTCATGGTATCTTTTAATCCGCAACTAATTACTTGCTAGTTGTTGTCATTACAAAGAATTGATGGTATTGATTAGGGTCCATAAGATTCCCCTAATTCGTCATTGTTGTTCGGTATTTAAGACATTTAATAGTAGTCAAATATTTAACTATTAGTCCAAATGAAAAGGTTGGAACTTATATCACACCACATACACATTGCGAAGAAATGGTTCCTTTTCTCTGCTACCTGATCAATGATTTATAGAATGATCTTGGTAAAATTGCTATATACTCCCTCCATCCCAAGAAAACTGTGATATTTGAAATGGCAAATTGTTTGACCATATGTCACTTACCTAAATACCCTTCAACTAAGAAAAACATAGGGACACTTAAGTTGTGAGCAAGGAGTTGAGTGTCCCCACATTACATATTTTAAAAGATTGGGGCAAGGACAAGGAGTAAATGGATTTTCTGAACTTGTGTTCAGCAATCGACTTTTCGCAACTTGTGTTTAATGGTAGATTTTTCTGCACTTACAGAAAACCTTTCAAGTGCTTTCTGAATAACTGTATCAATGGAACAATAAAGTCATTTTGGAAAATAGTATCAAAATTTTAATTTTCATGTGTTTCAATAATCTAAAAAAGTACATTTAGAGATGTTCAAATTTAAATAAAAAGTAATGAAATAAGCAACTCCGACACAAACAAAATGAAATAGCATGATTCTTAACAACAGTACTTACAGAATCGACTGTAAAGAACTGAAAGTTCACGCCTCATAGCTTCCCAACCCTCTCCATTATTCATAGGTCGACTTGCCTTCCATATAGCAAGAAGATACCTCATCTCAAAGATTGAGAAGACGACAAACTTAAAAAATGCAGCAGTAGCAAAAGCATTGAACAAGGACTCTGCAAGACATACCACATACTCAAATACACATCCATAATCAATAGAAAAATGAAAAACATGTTTGCAGAGAACAAATATTATTTGCTTAAGTGGTAGCGGAAAGATCCTCACCATCACGACTATAAGAAATAACATAGATAATAAGAATACTATAATTGATGGATTGACAAATTTCCTAATAGCCTGAGTTGCATGCAGTATGCTTGGGAAGATATGCAAACAACGCTGTATTGTATTGTTCACTCCTCTTTACTTCTAAAAAGGAGTATATAATAAATAACAAAAGAGGTAATGTTCTTGCCAAAAAAACCACAAATAGAAGTTGCCAAACATTCCCAACTGAACTAGAAAGTTTACCAACTAATATCCCTGCAGTCAAATGTAAAAGGCAAAGATATGCATCCATGATAGCCTGTTGTCCAATCATCAAAATTGACACTTTTGCAGCCCCCTGCAGTAGATGCCAAATCCACATTGGTATCTTATCTAGACAGCAATAACAGTCTTCAAATTTATTTGAATACTACAATACAAGTACAACTATCAGACGAAGTCTTACAGATTGCGTATTACTATGTTCCATTTGCCGAATTAACAGAAGAACCTGAAGAAAAGAAATCTGATATCCGAAAACTTTAAGGAGCAACAGTAAAGCAGTTGATCATGCACAATTGGTTAGAATAATAACACTAAGAATTAGGTCCATTTACACATGATACATCAAGATGTACTTACTTCATACTGAAATACCCTATCTGAAATAAGTAGGCATTGACTTGTTCAAAATCAACAAGGAAGGGATAAGATGAAGGATACAAAGGTCACCATTAGAGTGTAATTCACTGCTTTGTTATAGTAAACCTCTATGTTGACTGAAGTAGCATTCATTAGCATGGGTGAGAAGCAATCTCCATCATCATCAGCAGAAGGACTCTCCATTAAGCCTTCCATGTAATAACGATCATGGTCTCCATCTACCAGGAAAGGAAGAGAATATTCAAATGGCTTGAAAATAAATAAATAAATACACACATTTTTCATGACATTGGAAACCATAGCAAGGGGGTCAAATTGTTGCTGCCCGTTAATTGAAACACCCACGGTAATTCACTGGGTATTACAGCAAGTGTCGGGTTCGAACCTTAAGGTTATGGAGAGTAAGTTCCAAGTACTTGAGTGTATCTATATTTGCATGTATATATGTGTGTGCATAAGCAAAATGCACTGGCATGTGCTCATACTCGTTCACTAAGCAAACTTATAAGGATATAAAGCATTGGTTTCAAATAACCCTTTGCTAGGGTAGTATGTGCCTGTTTTTAAACAAGGTTTCAAGCAAATACATAATATGTACAAGAAAAATAAACTTTGAGGAAAGGTATTCATTATAGAGCTGCAGTACCACTTTGGGTGGATGAGACACGTGAAATTTGAGCAGAGATTTCAACATTACAGTGTTTGTCCATGTCACTAATTGGAGCTGCAAGAACAAATTCAAATACTTACTCCAAACTTCATTGAGAAAAAGAATTAATACAAAGTGTGGGGGGTAAAATTAACACAAATAATGGGAAGAAAACTACATTGTTTGCTCTTCCAGATCTTATCACGTGGAGACTCCTGGAAGACTTGTGATGAGAAAACTCCAAGCTGAGAAGGTGTAAAAATACAAGTTCATCACATTAATTTACGAATAAAAATACATTAAAAATACAGGGCTTTTCATTTTGGTCATTTAACTTTCTCATTTTGTTGACTTCACTCCTGTGGTCTGAGGCAAACTAAAGATGTGATAGTGGGTTCCATTTTCTTGATGAGAGGAAAATGGTGATCAGAGCAACCAAATTGATAACAGAATGAACACTCATTTTGGGTAGTGATCTCCACTGTGCAAAAAGCACGCACTAATTCTTAGTAAAATGTGCAATCATCCTAAAGAGCTTCCATCAGCAGCAAGTTCTGTTAGCTAATGACACCATGTTTTGATGGAACCTACTATGTACTGCAGATAACTTTTGCATTCAAAGGTAAAAATAGATCCTGATTTATCCCCTAAGATGTCACAAAATTATTTTCAAATTAGAAAAGTATGTTACTCGATATTGTAATACCTATCCTTTTCCAAGAGTCGAGAACTTGACTTCTTGGAATAGGTACAATGTATAGGAACTAAAAGAATATGAACAACTAATGACAACAAAGACTTTCTGCAAAGTAGAAAAAACGTTCAATTAATAATTTGATCAACAGTGTGCCAGTTTTTAACAGCTAAAATCTGTTTCAATTAATTGTGTTTCCTTCCTAAAATCCATCAAATGAGGCTATTCGTACTCTTTTTCATTCAAGTGAATTTCTAAACAATGCATCTGAAAGATCATCGTATGCCGTAAAGTTAAGCCCTATCCTATAATGACCTATGTACTCATTCATTGGCGAGTGGTATTTCAAATGTAAACGAAGGAAAATCTAAAGTTATGCCAAGAATATAGATCTCTATGGAATTACTGTTATTTCAAATGCTGATAAATATCATACTCCTCAGTAAAGAGCATCTCCTATCCCAAGAATATAAGGCTCTATTACTACCAAGTTACCCTATTTACAGTACCATATTTTAAACCTATGCCACAAAAAGAAACCTTTATCCCACTAAAGAGCTGTAACTGTCCCAAACTAATTGGATACACATTTATATTACACGTTTCTTTTTAATAAAATGGCCACTTCTACCTCCTTGTTATTTGTTTACTGCCATCCATAGGACAAATGCAACTGTACTTCTCCCTTTAATTTTGCATAATGAGTGTGATCGGCATAGCTAACTAACCCTAACTTGAGCATAAACTTTCTGAATCTTACACACTTCTCGTTTTTCCTTGCAAACCAAACCTGGTGTGTTCCCATATAAACCTCAACTTAAGTTGCTATGTAAGAAGGCCATGTGGCATAGAAGTGGTAGAAAAGACCCAATCACATCATAACTTGACAAGAATTATGAACTCAAAAATGATAACATAATTCTTCATGAGACGAAACAAAAAATGGTTTAATTGAAGAATATCAAACTTCTTGAGTTAAAATTTTAATACGTTAATTTAAAGGCCCAATGAGTCAGTTAACCTACAAGGACAAAACTCTCAATTAGTCAATCGGCTTGACAGGCAAAGCCAAACTAACAGCAAGATGCCATTATGGTTACTGTATGAGGTTAAGGTTCGTACCTTGAGTGTGACTCATACCAAAGGAAAGAATCTTGCAAGGTGTGACGATATCATTTACAAAAGCAGAAATATACATATACATGATGGGAAAGCGCAAGACAGTAAGACCCTAAGATTATAGCAAACATGAATACATATATCTTACATTTCTGAGAGTGTTCAGCCTGGCTCTTGGAATCATCTATTCTCACCAAGACACAAGGGACAAACCAACCATGTAACGCATTATGATGTAGCCTACTAGTATTATAAACTCTTACATATCTGACTTTTTCTAGGAACTATAACAAATTCTTTCTTCCAAAGACTGGAGCAAGAACAGAAGCATGCCCGGTATTACAATGAGGGGGCTAATCAGAGGCAGGGCTAGAATTTTAATTTAGGGTGGTCTAGATGATGTTGAAAGAAATGAACTCAATTTGTAACGTGCAAATTGTTAATGTGAGACATGTGATATGGGCAAAAAAGGAACTCATAGTGCAAGCCATAAACATGATAGTATAAAAATCTATGACTTCACAATCTTGATCTATATATTTGGAGACTTTGTATAATGATATCAGTGTTGATTTACTTTACTCTGATATTTGATTTTATAATATTTTTTATAAAACATTTGCAAACGAAAAAAACATAAAAATATTGTTGGCGATAGAACCAGCAAATATTAAATTATGCATATTATAATTTATACATGCTCTAATTATTCACAGAAATCTGAAACTAATTAAACAAAAAAAGAAAAAAATCAAGAAAAAGAAACTAGGAGTTTCGAATTAATTATTTAAAGAAATTTGAGATTGATTAAATAAAAAGGAAAAAAGAAAAGAAAAGGAAACTAGGAGATTCAATCTCTGAATAATCAATTCCTAGCAAACATATCAAACCACTTGGACCACTAAGATAATATGTTTCAAGTTTCTATTATAACATATTAAGTGGAACAGTTGGGGGTGGCTCAGCACCACCATGCCCCCCTACTGTGTCCACCCCTGGGGCAATGCTGTGTGCACGTTGAACTAGTAGAGATACCATGACAGTTAGCACCCATGGAAAAAAGAGAAATTCAAGCAAGAGGTTATAAGGCTTTGGCGACTCAAACTATCAACATTGTCATAAGCATTGTAGGTGCATCGCCATCAACCTTAGGCGGCCTTATGGAAAAAAGGGGAAATTTTAGTTGCTGTTAGAAGCCTTGGTCCTAGTGCAGCATGAATCCTGCCTTGATTTGCTATACAAGTACAAGACTGTCATGCCGTTTAAACTAGATATCAAGTACATAATACAACTAAAAATCACAATTCTATTATTTTGGATTATCCCCTAAAGGGAACATCCATATTGGCAGGTAACAACCAGACGAAGGATGGACAAATGCATGTGGTTCCCACATTTGCACATAAACATGTTCTTCATTCTAATGAGTTCAAGGTTTCAGAAATTCGAAACATGGCATCTTTCTGCTGGAAAAGACTGGTACACCATAAAAGCATAAACCTAGTGAGGTGGGTAATATGTTTTACCCTCTGTTATTTCAAGTCTGCCACTACAGATGCAATGAGAAATTCCAACATAGATAAAAAATCATGGAGAAAATTTTCCACTAAAACAAATCTGTCAAGAGATGAATGAACAATCGAACTTAGAGTAACAGCCACCATGACCAATACAATCATTTATTTGTAGAAGTAACCATATGATATCAGTGAGAAATAAAGATTACCAAGTGATATGGGTTGGATAGTATATAATCCTCTTCTTGACCAAACTCTCCCTCTTTTGCACTGCAAGTCAAGAGTATCATATATGTATTTCATTTGATCAAGATATCCTTAAACATACTTCCAATATATGATGTTAAGAAAATAATCAATATATGCTCAGATAGAGTATTTGTTCGACACTCGTGACCAGTGACAAAGTCAAGGACAAGCTAGCAAGTCCCACTTGATTTTTTGTAGTTAACAGATGCATTCAAAAAATTTAGTATCGAATCATATATTAAATAGCAGTCGCAACCCCCCCCCCCCCCCAAAAAAAAAAAAACCCGAAAATCAGAAAATTGCAATTAATTCGTAAGCAAATCCATATATTTTCTGGATCCACTATTGCTCATGATAGAGAAAGAGATTACAGGTTGAACCACAAAAAATCCTTTTAACTCATAATCAAGTTCATCACCTGCATGTTTTCTGATACAGGATAGAAGTGTGGAAGTCCACCTATCAATTATGGGCAAGAAAAATTCTGCACCGTACTTTGCAAACATTTTGTGTATTATATATAATTAAAATAAAAATGATAACAACATACTGACTCAAATGCAATGTCAAATGGAATATTTTAGTAATATCCACGATATTGCTTTCAATACCATTGATTTGTGCCCAGAAAGAACCATCATCATAAGGTTTCATATATGTCCTGTAAAAAACTATTTCTTAGGCGTCTTAAATTACAAGGCCACGATTTGCCCATTTGAAGGCTCAGCATATCATTTTCATTGCAATATTATTAGAGAAACTTTATGCCACTACTGCCAAATGATTATTAAATTGTATAATACAGCTAATAGTAACGTTCTTCCTTGCACATGAACAACAAAATAACCATTATCCATGAAGGCATAAGTTGGCTTTGTAGGTTTCCTTTGACTCATATAAACTACCAAATTTTTTGTCTAGTTACGGACCATCTTTCACTTAACTAACTGTACATACGAGTTAATTAGAGGCATTATTGGATCCCATGTACTTATATATCACCCCCTCTATAAATAGGGGTATCTATCTCATCACACTGGAACATGGATTCCCTGCAAAAAAAAACGAAGTACTCAACAAGAATACTCATGCAATTTTAATATGTTATAATGTCAAATTCAATTTTTAGAATACCTTCCGATACTTTTGGACATTTTATGCTTCTAAGAAAGCATAAGGCCTGGTGGGAGTCACGATTGACCATCATGGTATAGGCAATCAGGCATACAGTGCAATTCACCGTAAGGGTTCTATTTGCAAGGGCAGCACAACATGGAGATATGGTGCTCCTAAGCGTTGGGACAAAACTTGCATAGAAATCCGCTAGCTTGTGGATGGCAATGGGGCGGGATTTACAAGCCGCCCTCATATAGGGTGGATATGGGTTTCCAAAAGAGCAATGAAGTATTGATATGCGAACAATTTCTTATATGTGTATTTGGCAAAGGCACGGGCAACGGCGCACTCGCAGATGACGCACACACACACACATACACATTCATCTATTGTATTCAAGCATATTTTTATTTAATTCATCTTATTTACAATCCCACACTTTACTCTTTATCACTTCAGTAACCCTTTTCGTTAGCTGGGTTTTACATTATCAAAGCATTGTTTACAACCCCTAATCCCCTAATCCTTCTCAAGATCTAGTTGGACAAAGTTGGGCAGCCAAAAAGCAATAAATAAAATAAAATTATAAATCTGACAACCTTTTCATTTTGTCATATTAGCTTTGTTTGTAACAGAATATGCAATACACATTTTGTATCTTCATGTCACTCAATTGACCCAAAAGGCCAAAATCATAACCATAACCACAACAACAAGAAGCTCTATGGGATAGGCTAAACATGAACCCAGAAGAAACCATAAAGTGGTCTAAGCCAATAGAAAACATTAAGAGGTTCGAAGACATGATGCCATTCTTTCAAACACTTTAATCTATGTTGACTGTTTTGGTTATAATTCATTCACTCAAATCCCTCTTCAAGTACCATATATCTGACCTCTCCTCCTAACGACGTCCTGTTAGTACAAAATTATGAAAGAACTACACTTGATACATGTCTAAACTATGAACACACTCATGCCACAAGTTTACAAAGATCAAACCTGTGAGAAGCCTGGGAGTAATATGTTGCAAACTGATAATCAGTCATATGCAATAACTAGAGAATTGACTTTCATAGTACATACTCTACTTCTGAGGGAAGTACCTGTTGGCGACCATTCGAAGTTGTCTAAACGGCCATATATATACTCCTTCTACCCTAATTTGGACACGGCCAACTTCAGGTTCATTATCAAACACGTCATGGAAAATCATTACACCCTGCCATATCAGGAACCAGAAGTTCTTGTTACAAATTTAGAATTCCTTATCAAGATATAAAATAGCACATAACTTGAAAAGAAAAAAAATTAAACCCAAGTAGTGGCTACATTTAATGGAAAATGTAGCTGCTACACAAACGCATACATAAATGGAGATATAGATGAACAATTAGATCTACTAGCAGTGTCTCTATGTCTGCGCATATATAGCCCATAGGTTTTCGATATCAAATTCTACTTTTCATCTCTATAGATCATGATTTTCCTTTTTGAAGTATACCGCATAATGAATTTTGTGCGTTAAAGGTAATTACATCCATATACATATCATGTTTTCTAAGTTAAATTATTTGGTAACTATCTCAGTTTCATATCATATAGAAATTTAACTAGAATTTCAGAAATATTGTCCACCATAACCACATTTGTAAGCCGTAATGTGAAAGAAACATTGTTTTTATTATTATTAACCTGGATATCCAACCCGCTATGCGAGCCGACTAATCCCAGGGCGATCACCTGCTTTGCAGATAGCAAGGAGTCACCGCATTTGAACCTCTGTGGCCACAAGGGGATTTTTATTCCTCCTTGGATTTGAATTTGGGACCTCCTGGTACTTTTGACCTTTGGAGCCAAGCTCAAACCAATCAGGCACCACCCTTGTGGTTATGTGAAAGAAACATTTGAGGCTAACAATCTTGGTATATAACCATAATATGATAAGAATTACACCTTACCTGAACATAGTGTACACCATTTATCTTAGTTGGCCTAGTGATCAACTCCAACACAGAATTGCCACTTGATTTCTTGAAATCTGGAAACCTGGAAGATGTATTTGAGGACTGGAGGAACCTCCAAGCCCCTGATACAAGCACAACATCAATTCCGAAAACAAACTCCAAGTCAATTAGCTGTATAACACCAAAATAAGATAGTTGGTGCTATGCTATCTATTGCAATAAAAAAGAAAAAGAGAACATAAGGCAAGTCCTTAACGACCATCATGTCACTACTACTCCTAAGTAAATATCTTAATGCCCACAGAAAAGGATGAAATTAAGCATTATATATTATTCTGATGCTTGTTCAGACCAGCATCTATCATCAGGTTTCAGTGTCCATGCTAGCTATTTTAGGGTATGTGCTTCCTCCAAAGTACTCACTGAATCTCCATTTCAACTTGGCATGTAGTGTGCTTCGAGGGATGATGGTATATAATATCTCCACATTCTGTTTTGGTTCTATGGTGTACTGTGGGCAATGGGGAAGAGCATAAACTAGCCATAGAATGAACCTGCCCCTTAGTGAATTAAGAGCCAAATATTATCTAAGATCCAAGAATTTCTTCCAAAAGCTGCGATGAAAATTAACTAAGACGTAAATCAAAAGGGACCATATGATCCAGAATATGCACAACAATAAGGAACTAGTCACTATGGGAAAACACAAAATACTGGGTATACCATTTCATACTTTGGGCCTTTTGTGTGTTACATTGGACACTGGGCACCTAGTTCTTTTCTGGAGCTTCAGTAGTCTCTTTCATTCCATTTGCTAGTGTTTTGCTAATCAATTTTAATGGTCAATGATAGCAATCTTGTTGATTTAGTTAGAACAAACCTATAAATATGTGTTCCCTACCTACTATGTTCATAAACTAGTGCCCACCTTTATATTATGGCTTGTTCTAGAATAATTCCTACTTGCAGAACCAAGTCCCTGTTTACTGGAAAACCCTTTCCAGAAGAGGTGACTTTGGAGAACAAGGAGTTTGTGTGTAGAGAGTGTCTAGGCATTTGATACACATGTTAGATATTATTAACTGCTCGAAACCCATCATTTCAAATTGGAGTTTCATCCAGCAACTTCAAACTTTGTTAAAGTAGTAGAATGTGATCATATATCCTAGCTCAGTAACTTACGAACCTCTGTACGTCCCAGTTATATTCCATGCAGAGAATGGACCCAATTCATTCTCATCTTTCCTTGCAACAAGCCACTGAAAGAAGCAGAGGGTTAAATTACATTGTACTCAAGCTTGATGTTTCAAAATCATGTTATATTTCTAATCAACACGCAAAATGTTTAGAATAGTATGAGGTTGCATACAGTCCAGCGAGTTCAAAATGTAATACAATTTCTATTGTTCTTAATGGATAAGAATCCTACATATGTGTTGTAATGACGAGGCAGCAGAAAAACAATAACTAGGGTTGCATATATGACCATCATAATCCCCAAAACAACTGTCCATCATCTGACATTTCTAACAAATGGAATAGAAGTCATTGACAATACGGACCAGCATACTTGGCTACTTGGCTTTTTCTGCAAACGCCATTGTTCTTGCAGTATACTTTAGAAGAATGAGTGATTCTAAACAAAAAGTGCCAAGTAACTAAGATTGTGTTTTGTGCATTGCCCAAAATCAATCCCTCATTTCGGTAGACTATAGTTACTCTTTGTGCAAAAACAATGGTTACTATGCAAAGAAAAGCCAAATTATAGGGTTCACAAATTCATTTTAGCGTTTTAGTGTTTTATCTTGATCTGGAGGGGTCTCCCCCCTCCCTATCAAAAAAAATTCATTAACTCGAAGGGAAATGTAACCTATTATCCTTTATTAGTAGCATTTGTTTTGAATGCTCGATCAAGATAAGGTGTAGCATGCAGAAGTTTGCACCGCACAAGCTAATCACAATGGTGTCAAGCTATCATTACCCAAAGAAAATCTTCTTTAGGATTACCACTCAATCTATTAGGTTAGTAACACCGGCTTGAATTCTGATTTGAGTTGATATCGAATGGCAAACTCATAGACTGTTGTAAGCCACACGAATATATAATCTTCACATATTAGTATCTTAAGGTATGACAAAAGATATGCATTCTTTGCGTCTCAAATATAAGATTAGTTAGCAAACAGTAATAGTATCAAACTCCAAATATATGTAGATATAATACTTAAAAATGTAGCAGTAAAGTATATGGCCTATTATCTATAAAACTAAATATTGATGAAAATGAGATGCCTTAACAAACTAATATGCATCAGAGTAAATATTGATGAAATTTGATGACAAAAATGTTAATTTCAGTCCAATAAACTACAACACCACAGCTGAGATACATATACAATGCCTCAACTAACATAAGTAGAGGTCTATGGGTGTGTACGCCAAACACTACTAGTGGAAGAAAGGGTAGAATCTAAAAAGTGTTTCGGTTCAATTAACTACAAAAATATATTTCATTTGCAAGATGAAATCATAGGTTTTATTTGTTTCTACCATTTTCCTCCATTCAGCGTCCTCCATTTTGGGGCCATCTCTGTTTCTCCTCACATCAAGCTGATAGGGCTCACAAAATGAAATTGCTAAATGACCAAAATGAATGAGACCTTAATTTGGTATTCTGAGGCATTTTGGTCGGTGTGAACCTTTACCTATTATACGAAACCAAAGTTTAAAAGCATAACCATCTATGAAGATTATCATATTGGCTTTCATTGCACCAACAAGATCCATGTGCCTAAGCAAGAAATGCTTTCCTTCCACATCTTCACATCACATGAACAAACCATTGTGTATGTATCGTATACTTGATAATTTTAATTGAACTTTATATGGATCTCTTCCGCACGGTATTAGTAGAACCATTAAGTAAAACAATAGATTGGTATCAAAAGTAATACAGCTTTCCTTTGGTGAACAGAATAGCAAACAAAGAGTCCGACAAATTGAAAAAGACAATTCTCCCATGAACTTCCCCAACATCCTTTTCAAACAAACTCATCCACAACTTTTCCTAGGACAACTCGCTTTTAATTCGTGAAAGCCCATCAAATTCTACTTGTTATACACAAAAAACCAAATTTCAAGTAACAAAATCCAATGTGGCAATCTTGAGAGCTAGCATAAGAGGCAAATAAAGGCTAAGCATTGGGGCTCCTGCACATAGGTCGCAAGTTCGAGTCTCCTCATGGCCACTTAGGATTTTACTAGCTGTTATCTTCAGGGCCCATGAGATTAATCGAGTCGCAAGCAAGCTGGCCCGAAACCCACAGATAGCAAAAAAATTAACTGTGGCGTAATTTTTCTCTTCACTAGTGTCACTAACTTTTATGATCTGGAACTGGTCAAATTATCTCTTAACCACACAGTACTACACAACCCAGAAACAACCTGATAGGAATGTAAATGTTATTAAGACAAGAGGGACATTTATATCTAGAGAATTTTATATCTTATCACTTATTCTAAAGCTCAATGTAGTGAACAAAACGTATTCCTGAAAAGGTTTAAAGCCCATATTCATTTCAATGTTCAAAAAGGGAATTAAGAAGGATATCGAAGTGCATTCTTCCTGGAAATTTCACAGGAATCGTAAAGTAATCTTAAGGTCAACGCCAAATTAACATGAAACTAAATCTTGAAGGAATTATATGCACACAAAAATCAACAGTATTTGTGAAGACTAACCTCATCACCCCATGAACGAGCTCTCTCCCTCAGAGGCCTTAATCCTGCAATCGGTTGAAAATTTGACAAAACAAACCACAGCAACCCGAAGAAAACCCGAAATTCTTTCACCTTTAACCCCATAAACCCCAAGTTTCTGATCACAAAAAGACCCGAACAAGACTCAGCTAAATCACAATCCGCTGAAGTAGAAGAGGAAATTTCCACAACAGAAACATACATATAATTCTGAAGAAAGAGTGAAAGAGATTGTTGCTTCGAGTGGAGTCAACAACAGCCCTAAACTACCAATTGAGATAGGAAAATGAGACTTTAACAACCGACTGCACATAAATAAAGTAGTTGTTTCAACAAGAAAGAAAATCAGTAGTCAATTTGTAGACCAGAAAAAACCCTGATTTTCTGATGAATTTCCCGAGAATTTTGATTGATATTATGAATCAGTAGTTGGTGCGGATGTTCTTGTTTCTGTATCTTTGTTTATTCAAAAAGTAAAAAAAAAAAAGGAGGTGGAGTTGTTATTCCAATTAGACAACTGACTGCGTTGGAGGTTGTTTCATCGTAGAATGAATGATCATTCCATTGAAGACCAGAGGTTTGATCAACATCTTCTGATCATTCTACTTATTTAAATATTAAACGAAGATCAACAATATTCTACTTATAACTCAATTTAACATCATCTCAAATCTTATCATCCTCATTTTATTTTTGGAGGTTTTGAATTACTTATAAAAATAATTTATTGACCTATTCCGTTATAACACGGATAATAAGTATTTTTGAGTGTTTGGATAAACAGTTTATATCGGTGCCAAACCGATAATAAAAAGTTTTTAAAGAAATTAACCTTTTTGACTTATAATAAGTTGATAAGTGTTTTTATAAAAAACATAAGTTGTTTCAAATAAGCAATCACAAACACCCCCTTTATATTTTTTAAATAATTTAAACCGAGTAAATGACCATGTTATCATTGGTGGATTCAAGATTTTTGTCCAGTGAAACACCTTTAAGGTAGACTAAAGGCTGCAAAGTCGTCCGACGTGTTTTTAGCTAATTACACCGTTTCGAGGTATTTTTAAAGCTTTTTTGGTTGATTTCAAGAGATTTTTTAGTGTTTTTGTTGATTTTGAAGGATTTTTTTTGGTTTTTTTTGATTAATTTCAAAAATATATTTTGGTTTTTCTGATTAATTTCCAGTCCCAACACTTACATCTCTCTCCCTCGCTCTATCGACTGTTGTTGTCAGTCCAACAAGTGTTATTGTGGTTTGACCACAACTATTATAGCCCGACCACTGTCTCTGCTCTATGATCCGACCACCACCACTCACTTCTTGTACTTTAGAATTTTACGTCTCTTTCTCAAAAAATGTTGTTGCACGGTTCGATCACTGCTATTTGCATCATTTCTCTTGCCAGTAAAGCTCCATCATTTTAATACTTGTTGTCGTTGAATCTCTAAGTTCATACATTTTCCAGTACCAATTTAAATGTTTTATCATGCTCTTAAACTCCATTAGTCTTACTACTTGTGTGGTTTATGTCAATTGAATTTTATTGAAACAATCTTTGTAAGTTAGAACAACCAATTAGTCTACTATAACATGATGGCTGGTCTTTTATTATGTTCTTAAATGAAACTCCACCAATCTTTGTTAGTTGTAGCCATTTGTGTCAAGTGAACTTGAATACTGTAGGGAATTTAATATAATGCCTCTTTATAGCTTGTGTTATGCACAGAGGAGCGAGAAATGGTTTGGACGTATGCTTATTTATTGGTTTTCTTATAGGTACCGTTGCAGTGACATGGAGTTGAACAAGGAGTGGTGTGAGGGTATTTGATGTTACCCTTAAGATCTCGTTAATTGGTCATGTAAATAATATGTATGTTGTTTGCTTCCACTTATTGATCCTCTTAATGGCTCAAGTTCTGAGAATAAGACGTAGGTTGATTAAAGGATCGGTAGCATCAGAGTTGTAGAATCCCACAGAGAATGAGCCAAGAAAAGAGATTATGGAGCCAGAGTTAAAACTTTACATTTGGATAAAGTGAGAGCAACTCCATGAGGGTAATGGTGGAGTAGTTGAAATCCAGCTCTTTTAAGTGAGTTTCATTTTCTTTGTTAGCCCTTTCAGTATTCTCACTTGCTTATTCAGATAGTTCTTCCTTCATTTCTGCATTTAACTTGAAAAACACATAAGTTGAATAAGGAAATGACAAACATTGTTCATGGTGACACCAACTTATTAGGAACACTGGAATATTTATACATCTACTAGAACTTACATGTGTTTATTTTTTGGTTATATTTAGGAGAATCACCCTAAGTTGTATTTTGGCTCTGCCCATGGTCATACCCTTTGATTAATCAATTACTAGTGGCTTCTGATGCGACTATCAGCAACTAGTCGTATAGTCTAAAAAATGTAATTTTGATTTGGCACATGGTTTTGATAGAAGTCTTTGACTGATTATTGAACATTCTGTATGTCCCGTTAATAAAACTAAATTGAGAAAACTTATGGATCACAGTCAATTTCATAAATATCTAGTTGGAGAATGACATCAAAGTCATTGGATTTAAGTTGGAGAATGACATCAAAGTCAATGAATTTCAATTGGAGAGCTACATAGATCGAAAGCTTGCACCATTGGTATTCAAGCTAGATTCACTTTTTTTCCATGTTCAATGATAATCAACAAAGAGAATCTTCAATTCAGAAGACTCACGAGCAACACCTATGGTATTTTACTGAGGTAAATGAGTTGTGGATATTTTTTGGGCTAATTAGGAGTCATAACATACTGGTTATTTTAGATATATCATCAATCTAATAGAATAGTTGGATATGTTTTGGATGTAATCAAATTTATCATGTTTTCAATTAGTTGTTATCATAACATTAGGTAGTCGAGCATTGTAACATGAATGGTGCAGCCTAACTCTACTGCAACGGTGTATCACTATAATATGTATGATTGGATGCAGATGCACTAGACTTGAGTAGTGTAGCTTTATCTATGAGCTGAATTGGACTGCTCTGAAGTCGAGTTCTACCAATAAGCATGATTGGACCAGTCAGGCCACATCGAATTCAATAAGAAGTAGTTTAGCATAATCAACTATAATGATTATACACAATTAGGTTCTATTAAGTACATGATATTGTTAGGCATCACTAGACCAGGTATTGTTAATATGTACGAATAGACCCTTTAGTCATTGTACCTAGCCTTCCATTTTGAGTATATTACATTGTTGATCTCAACCATCAGTTTTGAGAATACTACCCATGACATCTGATCAAACACGTAGAAAAGAAAATTCTTTGTTACCTTGTTTTGCAAGAAACATATCTGATGAATTTCATTCATTGGATATTTCTCATTTTAGTTTACTCGAACCTGTTATTTTAGGTTTCAGATACAACATTCATCGGATCCTTTGTATGAATTAACTATATTTGAAACTATCAAAAATCCGATTGGATTTTCTTGACAAATATTATAGCTTCAAGTTTCAAATATTTTAATATGTACCAAGTTATCCGATGAAGCATCTTCATAGAACTGCTATAGTTGGAAATCTGATGTATAACTTATATTTCAAAAAATTTAAAAATATATAATTTTTATTTGTAAAGTTCTTGTAACTATCTCTCTTGTGCCAAGAGGAGAATGCCCTCAACGAAATCGAAGACTAGTTTAAGTGAGGTCAAGATCGTCATCTAAGCAGATTGGTTTGTCATGTAGCCAAAAAGAAGATCAATATAAGATAAAAGTCAACTAGTAGTATGACAAATACTATTAATGGCAAGCCGAATCTTGTAGTACAAACTTGGCCAGAACTTTCTTACTCCCTTCTTGGTATGAGAACATGCAGAGCATGTCAACCAAAGTAAGTACAAAAACACTATGTTATTAGTGTTATACTTCTTTTACAATTCCTCGACATACCGAAAGGTGGGATAAGTTAACAAAGTTTCTACATCAACTCAAAGGATGAAATGAAAAGTACTAGGATGCATGGATCAACAAATTAGAAGAAGACATGCACTAAAGTTGAACAGTGTGCATTTAATGTCATGTTGGTTATAAAATGTCACCATTGTCACTCAATGTAACTCATCCGTTTTGAAAGAACATCTTTGTGAGTGTTTCTTAGACAAAATTGGTGTCATCCTCTGAAGAACTTCCTTAGTTCTTTGGATCTGAAAGAGTACTTCCTTTCCCTGACTCTTTCTGTTTTTAGCAAATTGGTCACAGTTAGATTGTCTAGGATCACAGGTCTTACCTTCCTAACTTCCGCAATAAATTTATAATTCTTTGTCTTATACAAAATATAGAATCTTGAATTACAAAGTAAAAATCATTTTATTTGTATTCAACCCCCCTCTTCTACACACACTTCCTATGTAAGTCATCACTTCTTAGGACCAACAAGTGGTTCAGAGCAGTTTGTTTAATCTCATAAACAATATTCGAAATGACTTCCATAGTCAATGATAATGGCTTTCTATCCAAACCTCATCATTTTCTAAATGTTAACTACTTTTCTTTAATAAATCGGATAACTCTATGTTTCATATATGTTCTCTATTTCCTTGAATATGAAGAATCAGATGTCTTTTGTCATATTCAGAGGACAAGAAGTGAAATATTGGAAATATCTTATTCACTCAAAGTTTCCATCACTCTCTCACTTCTAGATAATACCCTCAAAAACATGTTTTGTTTGTCTTTTCTAATATCCTTATATCTGATAAGGTTGTTGTCAACTTTGAAATATTCTGTTGATCAATAAAGTATCTTCTTGATCTTAAAGGATCTCAAAGAAAAATTTAGACAACCAAAAAAGAATATTCTCTCTCTCCTTTATAAAAGATCACTTTCAAGCTAATGATCTTTTGAAGAAAAAAAATCTCTTAACCTCAAAAATATATGCTTTATGGCTCACCTCTCTGAACCAAGTCTTTCAGACAAAAAAAAAATTCATAAACTTCTTCACCAGTCTCCTCAATCTTAAAGAGTTATTCTCAGGTATATTTCTCCATTCTCTCTAAAAATCTTGGAGATCACTTTCTCTCTAAAAACCTAATTCTTATATTATATTTCTCTTATCCTGAAAAACCCATAAGTTTATGTGTATTTTGTCACTAATCAATTAATTGGTTGCAGGGATTAGGTCAATACTTAAATATGGTACTTTGTTCACATCTCCCTACTCAAGGACTTTATGCAAGTGATAGGTCCTTATGTTACTTTTGGGGATAATTCAAAAGGGTCAATTCTAGATTATAGTATTTAGACTAATGGATCAGTAACCTTTGACAAAGTTGCCTATGTGGAAGGACTTAAACATAATCTTTTAAGAATCAGTCAACTTTGTGATAAAGTTTTTCCGTCAAATTTCTTGAAGATAAATGCTCTATTCTTTTTCCTAAGAACATTGAGATTCTTTCTAGTTTTTTCAAAAACAATGTCTATGTGATTGATTGTCCT